GATTTTACTGCTATATTAGCCAGGGTTATAAGGCTTCCACCAGTTCCTGTACACACACACTCACCAGGGTTTTCCTCTCTGTTCGGCTCTGATTGTCCAGGGCTGCCTGTCTGCCTTTGCACGTAGTTGCACAGTCAGAGTCCAGTGTGTGGCAAATTAAGTTTTTTTAGGATTAATTTTCTTTTGAATCAGTGTCTGGTGATGCTGGAACACTGTAATTAGGGCATTCATTTTGTCACACTTCCCTGTCGCTTGTTGTCAGTGCTTCTTCAGCACGTACGTAACACACAGCTTGTAATCTGACTAAACAAACTGCACATAAAGGAGCCGCAGTTTCATGGATATGCATTTTTCTAAATATATGCAGTACAGATCTTGGCCCAATTTTACTGACATGACAGGGCACAGAGAAGGCATGTATGCTGCAATTGAATCTGACAACAACAAACCACCAAATATAAATCCTCAAATGTCCCCCAGCAGACATTGTACCCTATTCTGGACAATTCTGCACTATTCTGGGAATCATGTCGGTCAATGTTTTTACTTGCTCCTTTATTTTACAAAATAAATGAAACTGAATTTAAAAACTCCTGTTCTTGACTCAATATGGATGTATAATTCCTACTGATAGACATTATTGTAAGGATAATTTTTAATAAATGTGGATTACCATAGTATGCTTTCTTTTTTCGTATTGATTTTGAGGATTTTAATGAGTATGGAGGAGGTGCTTAAATGTCCTCCTCTTTTACATCAACTTTAACCCCTCCCCTGGAGGTGGTTAGGTTTCCAGTATAAATTGCCAAACTGATGGAAGTGGGTAAGCATTTTCATCTTGAAAATCTGAGCAGATCCTTAAGTTTGCTTCTACGCTGTTAACATAACATTGAGGTACAAAAAAAGTGGTTGTTATTAATTATTGCTATTCTATTTACAAATTGTCTTTGAACAAGTGTGTGTGCTCTGTTTCTCACTTTAACAACTGTCATTTTTTATTTCACTCATTTACAGTATCCTCCCATCAGACCTCTGATACTTCATTTCAAGAAATTTGGTGACCATCTGCAGATCCTGTAAAACCACTGAAAGCTTTTGGAAACAATGGCAGAGCAAAAGAAGGTAGAACTGTTCCCATTAAAAGACAGCTTTTACAGCTATAGAGATGATGTGAGCCAGCTCTATCATTTCAGGATCATAAATGTTTCAAATATAGAACCAAAAATAATTGGAAAACAATTTTTTGAAATTCTCTTGATGACAAGATTCTCTTATGTTCTTGTCAGGTTTTTAAAGATCCCATCCATGGGACTATAGAGCTGCATCCACTCCTTGTCAAGATCATTGACACGCCTCAGTTTCAACGACTAAGAAACATCAAGCAAATTGGAGCTGCATCTTACATTTACCCTGGAGCAACCAACAGCCGCTTTGATCACAGCATTGGGTAAATTAAGTGTCTAGTTGCTGTTGTTCAGTAACAATGGTTTTCTTAAGAAGGCTTTATCTTGTAAGGTTTAATCTATTTTCTTTTTCTTTTTTTTTCTGTTACAGGGTGGCTTACCTAGCTGGAGAACTTCTAAAGTCTATCAGAGAGAAGCAGCAGGATCTTGGGATTACTGACTGGGACGTCCTTTGTGTGCAAATTGCTGCACTTTGCCATGACCTTGGTGAGGGACTTCCTGAGTCAGACTCACAGTTGATATTCAAAAAACCAGCAGCAGTTTGAATTGTGAAAAAAACTATTGTATTTCACTGCCTTAGCTAAGCATTAGTCAATCATCTCAAATAAGTAAATGAAGCATATTTGTTTCCTGAGGAAAACTAATACCTCAGAATGGTAACTGAACAAAGTAATAGTTGAATGCAGAAGGTAAATTTTCTCATTGGGGGAACATTGTTATACAATTCATTTATTTGTTGTTATTGTAACATTGTAACATAGGATTTGACGCGGGCAGTCTATCACTTCTTCAATTTCTGTTTAAGACCGAACATCTACTAACATACAAAGAAAATAAACACTTCTGATAACAACCATAAGTGTTAACTTTAAAACAATATCGATATATAATTAGCTTCTTTTTTTAATTATTCAAAATTGTATCAGTGTCTGTGAAAAGAAATTGGTTTAAACTTGTTTAAATCAATTTCTTTTGGGACCAAAAAAGACTTTTAGAATACTTGTTTCTGAAATAAGGAACTGTTAAAGATATTTTATAAAGACTAAATCATAGCTCAAACCCCTGAACTCTAACTTCCTTTCTTTTCAGGACATGGACCGTTTTCCCACATGTTTGATCAAATGTTTATACCCAGAGCAAGACCTGGAATTAATTGGACGGTAAAAGATTATTACATATTTTAATTTCTTTTTTTATTTATTTATCCTTTATTTAACCAGGTAATACCCATTGAGATTAAAAATCTCTTTTGCAAGGGAGACCTGGCCAAGATAGGCATC